TCAGAAAATCGAGTCGTGGTATACTGAGTGAGATAGCAGCAAATGCAAAGCGTATGGTAAACATCAGCAAAAACGGTGATTATCAGTGTGGCAAAGGCTTAGAGCCTGTAAGGAACGTAACCATTAATAAGAGGCTGATGCTGGGACTCAGTGACATCTAACTGGTCCTACCCTTCTGATGTTGTGTGTAATTATTTCAAGTTCATTACATTAAATCCGGCAAGTAAACTAAAACCACTAATGATGAACAGTTATTTAACACATTATGGTGAGGTTAACTCACAAAACGGTTATGAAATTGTTTGTGTTTCACGATTCTTGGAGTTGTTATAATGCATAAAATCAAGAGTGCATTGTTAATTTGTGAAATCGTTTGATTTGTTTCAAAGGCGGTAATTCAGTCGTCCGTGGTGTCATGCAGGTTTTTACATTTAGTTTTCGTTTCTTTTGTCTTTTTTGACTTTTTCCTCCCTCATAACACCATTACTAAGCAAAAGGAGAACCTGAATAGAGCAACGACCTGGGGGAGGTTTTTTGTATTCTCAATTTTTGGAAGCTGGTGTTACAAACTAGATGTTTTTCAGTGACCATAGAAAGTCTTATAAATTAGCATTAATTATGAGACTAGTTGAGTAGTACGAAAGTAAGTTTGAGGGACTATTTCATCTACAGTACACCGGTCTCACATCGTCCGCTAAACAGCATTGGAGATCTGTTGTCGACCTAAATATTCTTCCACCGTTAGTGAATAGCGATCACGCTGTTTTGTCATTCGCGTTTAGAACTAGGGACATGTTATACGATCAGGTTACACCTCGCCCAAATGTATGGAAAGCTAACATATCGGCCAATCAGGAATGCTCTGCTAAAACGGGTTGGTTTGTAGATACTAGCTTATCAGTTGAAGAAGCATGGTCTGTATTTAAAGGTAAGTTTAGTCTAGTTACGTCCTCGTTCATACCGTGCCTAGTACCACGAAGACCAAATAACAGTCCACCATGGATAACTAAACCAGTCAGGAAACTTCTTAGGAAAAGAAAGAAGCACTGGAATTTGTTCATCTCTACTATTTATTTATTTATTTATTTATTTATTTATTTTAACACATGAATATTGGTACAAGAGAGCGCCAATATATATGCGCCACACAAAACAATGAAAATTCGAAGAGAAATAGAAAAAAAAGCTAGGGAGCGCAAAAAAAGAGAACAATAACGAGGAGATTGGTGTAAGGTAGTATGGTAGAAATGAGGGAACGGAAAGGTACAATCAGAAGAAATCTTTCAGGTAAGGGAGACACAACCACTTTTTATGAAGAAAGTAGAAGAAGGTTACAGCAGGATCGCCACTGGCTTCTATTCTGAGCCATATCTGATAACGTCTCTAGCCACTGTGTTGCACCATCTCTCAGACCCCAACCAGGGAGTCGTGAAGGACCAACACAAGCCAGTCCTTTGCAGCTTTCTTTCATACCACGACACCATGTCATATACTGACCACCTCTCCGCTTCTTCCAACCAGTCCCAGAGTCGGCAAATAATGCACGACGTGGAATTCTCTGGGACGACATTCGGAGAACATGTCCAAGCCACTGAAGTCGGTGTTTCAAGATGGTGACAACAATTGAATTATCATCTCTGTGCCCGAACACACGATGCCGAACCTCTGCATTACTGACATGATGTTGCCACTGAATGTCGGCAATCCTTCGGAGACAGCGATGATCGAACACAGAAAGTCGTCTAACGTCCTCAACTCGGAGAGGCCAGGTTTCACAAGCATAGAGCAAAACTGCTCTCACCGACGCGTTGTAGATCGGATCTTTTACAGCCAGACTAACATCACAAAGGCGCCAAAGGTGGCCCAGATTGGCATAAGCCGCTCTGGCTTTCACTATACGTGCATTGATCTCATCACTCACACCCCCAACAGCACTTATGCAGCTACCCAGATACACAAACTTCTCGACTACTTCTATCTGCTCACCATCCAGAATGAGTAAAGGATTAGGATCCTGCCAGTCTTGTAGAAGTACTTTGCATTTCGAAGGTGCAAAGCACATGCCATACCTACGGACACTGATTGCCAACTGATTAAGTGCGGATTGCATGGCTTGGGCATTATCGCACAGTAAGACAATATCTTCCGCATACTCAAGGTCGAGAAGTCTTTCTCCAGGCAACAGATCCACACCGCCATTACTTACATCCATCAGAACTGTTTCCAGAATATCGTCGATGGCAAAGTTGAAGAGGAATAGTGAGATTGGGCAACCCTGCCTAACCCCACTGCTCGAATGGAACAATGGAGAAAGGTGGTTGTATGCCCTCACTCTACCTGAGGTGTTTGTATATAGGGCTTTTAGGATGTTAATAAACTTCTCAGGCACACCCTTCTTCAATAGACAATCCCAAAGAACAGTCCTGTCCAACGAATCGAAGGCAGCCCTGATGTCAAGAAACACTACGATTGTTGGCCTTTGATAAGTATGACAGTGTTCTAACATTTGGCGGAGGGTGAAGATATGATCAATACATCCTCGACCAGAACGAAACCCAGCCTGCTCCTCGCGAGTCAATCTTTCTCGGGTTTTGAACAACCTACGAAGTATGACGGAAGCTAATAGCTTGGACGCAGTCGGAAGTAAACTTATCCCCCGATAGTTGTGACAGGAACGACGTGAAACGTTTTTAAAGATAGGGACAACTATCGACTCATTCCATGACGTTGGTACACTCTCTAGTTCCCAAACCTTTGTAAACAACGTCGTCAATTCCTTAGTCAAAAAGTCACCACCATCTTTAAAAAGGGCCGGAGGTAAGTCATCTGGACCAGGTGATTTGTAACGCTTTAAGAGTTGGATTTCCTTGCGGACTTCTTCCTCGTTTGGTGGATCAGTCGTCACCGGCCATGGAGGGCAGGACAGTCTGACTGATGTTGCCGGAGCAGCAGGCCAGTTGAACTGCCCTTCGAAAAATTCTGCCCATCGTCCAAGACGTCGATGGATGTTAGTGATTGGCATCCCATCATCCTCTTAGATTGTTTCGCTCACACCAGACTTCTTGCTGCCAGTGGCTCGGATGAGTTGGAAGAGCTTCCGGTAGTTACCAGATGCAGCTGCTGCTTCCAGCTCATTAGCACGCTTCGACCACCAGGCTTCTCGGTCCTTAAGCAAGCTTTGCCCAATTCCATTACGTAACATCCTTCGTTTATGGTCAAACTCACGGTCACCCGGAGTAGACCGGCGGGCTTCAATGAGTTTTAGGGAGCCTACTGGCTTAGAACAATACAGATCCAGTTATTGTAAGATTAGGAATACGTGTAAAGCCTTAATAAGTAAGACTAGACTATCATACGAAAAACAATTGGTTAGGCATTCTAGATCTATAGTCCGAAACGGTTATTCTCGTATATAAAAAGGCGAACTCAAAGAAGCGATGGGATTTCATCACTTTTGATACAAGAAAGTCCGTTAATCTTGGCAGAAAATGATGCCGAAAAGGCTGAAGCTTTATCGGAATATTTCAATAAAGTATTTTCTGTCGGTAATGAGGAACAACCAGCGATTCATCGTGAACGTGACGGCTCGCTGATGGATCCTGTAGTCATTAAGAAAGGTACTGTTTTAAGGCTACTTTAGCATCTCAAACCTGATAAGTCCAGTGGTCCTGATGATATTCATCCTAGGATTATGAAAGCCATATCAGATGAAATTGCTGAACCATTAACGATACTATTTGACATGTCTCTGAGACAGTCCAGACTGCCTAGAGACTGGAAAGACGCTATAATAAGTCCGGTGTATAATGCTGGGAGTAGGGATTTAGTTAGTAACTATAGACCTGTTAGCTTAACTAGTGCAGTTTTAAAACTGATAGAGAAAATCATTCGGATATCCGTTCTAAACTATGTTGAAGGGCATAATCTTTTCTCCATGGCAAAACATGGTTTTCGGAAAAGCCTATCTTGCTTGACAAATCTCACTGCAAAAGAAGGTTGTGCTGCTGCAGAGACGACGAAGAGGCAACGACGAGTCTCTCTATCTTTCCGAGTCCTTACTGTTCCGTTTAGTCGAACAGCGCACAGATGACTGTCTACTGGGATCCAGTCTAAGAGAGCTAGTTCTGCCCTAGGACTCAATGCCATACCAACGCCGGTGAGGCCACGAGCAGCAGCATCAGGGCTTGCAGATACACGAAGTGTGAATCGAGTTGGTTCTTTATTTTGACATGGTGATGTCAAATGAATGACGCTACTCGGATCCTGTATGCGCGTTTTGGAGACGCAGCACACATCGATGGCTCGAGATTCTAAAGTCCTATCTAAGGAAGTCCGTTGTCCTATTTGGCACAGTGTTTGGACGTTAAAAGCTCCTACGTGTAGTTTAGAGCGTGGTTTCAGGAGACCAGGAATGGCGTTCCACGTACTCGAATCGTTTGCCCTAGCGGTGCGAGGTGATAAAGGGACGTGAGAAGGATTAGTCGTGGAGATAAGAGAGGTATTGTGAGGTGTACGAAGGATTTGAATGTGACTAACTTGTTCTCGTGTGCTGTTACGGGTATGAGGGCTGATGTTCCTTCCCGGCTGCCCACAACGTGGAAGGAGGATCATTGACTAGTATTGCAATTAACAGTCTGTCACATAAAAAAATTTGATTTTAACATTTTCTGCTTTCCATCCATACAATGTTTTTTAAAGATTCTCTATATTGTATTACTTCTCTTATGTTCAAAGTCTTGGTACTTAGTGAAGGTAGATCCTATTTTTACAGGACTGACATCACATACAATCAGTAGCTACCTTACTTTCTCTATCGCTGTCTTTAGTATCTTGTGTGTAAATTATTAATGCAGTGTAAAGTTGCTTGTCCCACATTAAACAAAAGTTATTTTAATTAATCATTTGTTTTTATCCCTTTTCATTTCATTATTATTTTTTTTCAGTTACCTTCAATACATTTCGATTTGTCAATGTTCATAAATCGCTCTAGTAAATAAACCATGACACAAGACGATATGATATATACAATAATACTTATATTGTCCCTGGTTACTGGGCCATTAGTCCAAAAATGTGGGAAATATCGACCTTGGTTCGCGGCTGTTGTAGGGTTTCTTATGTTTTTCTGTTTTGCGGGACAAGCTGTATGGCATTCACTCCTGACATCGTCTGTATTCACATTGGCCTTTATTCTTTTTCCTGCAAGGTAGGCTGTTTAATCTTGATAATAATTATTATCTTAAGATTTTTGCATTACGTAGCTGTTGTATGGTGCTTTGGTTATTTGGGATTTTTTCGAACTTGTCACTATTTCGGATTCTCTCAGGTTACTCCTGTCGCAAATATTGTGCAACTTTTATTGACCTTACGTGTACGTATTTTCATGTGTTTATTGATTTATAATCAGTTAATAGGTGCATCATTTGAAATAAGTGATAGTTGGCGAATAAACAATCAATTACAAAATTCTGATTTGCACCCACAGGATAAAAGCAAACTTGAACTTCTAAAAAAATATAAATGTATCGAGCCTTCTCCACTGATGATTATGTTGTATGCCTATTGCTATATTGGTTTGTTTACAGGTAAGAAGTTTTATTTGTGCTTAATTAAATTTAGCATAAATATGATAAAACGTGTTTCTCGGTTTTTCAGTTCTAATGTTCATATGCACGCTTCTGCTAAGCCAACCACTTTTATATATTGTTAGTGTAGAACTTAGTATTTTAGGAACTTTACTATTGACCACTGGATCACCGGTTTATTAATTACTGACGTTCAATCTAGGCATATGCTCAATATTTCTAGCTCTTGTACAAGAAGTATTTAATGCAATTTTCAACCGGACAGTGACTCGAAAACGTTTAGATACAGCCGAATTTCCACCAAAGACGATCCGCTGTATAAGTATTTAATGCACAAGCTTGGATATATTGTGATATTGTAATCTACCAACTATTAAGCACCTAATTTCTTGAGATTCTTCCAGGTTGAGGTATTAATGACCAAATGAAACTAATGGACGTCGATGAATTGACTCAAACAGATGCCGTGTGTTAATAATACCGGCTATCTTGAACTAATGGAACATATCCTATAGATTCAAGTTCGAAAGTTGTGGATACGAAAAGTGAGTATACAATTAGTACCGAATTTACCAGTATGATGTTGTATTTCGTCGAATTAATGAAACGATCTCAGTTGAACCACCACTAGAAATCTGGAAGCACTAAACAGTCACTTCGTCCCAGTGCGAGACTCCTCAGTAGTACGTGTTTACGATCGCGTATGCGGGAATCAAACCGAATATCCTCGGTCTTGCACTGCAATATCTTAGGAAATTTTAGCATATATGTTTGTATTATTTTCAAGAAACACTTTATGAAACTCGTTATATTTGTTTTAGGTCCATATTACAATCTGAAAACGTTTGAAGACTTTTGCAATCGGGATCCTGAAACCGTAATAACTGCAGAAGAACCTCTTCTTCAACACCTTCAAGAAGCACCTCCATTCGGTGTAGCTTATTTAATACTTTCTCACTTTTATACTGTTGATGTAAGTGTTTAGTGTTATGATATACGATCGCCGATTATATTTGCTATCTCACTGATAAGGTTTTACATAATAATGACGTAAACATCTTATTCGCCATAAAGTGGTGCAATTCTGTGACTAAATAAAGGTTCATGAGGCGTGGTTTAAGCCGTATTTTTTGTTTATGATTTGATGGTATTATTCGGCTATCCAAACTCTGAAATAGATAGTGCGAAGTTTGACATATCAGTCCAGTAGTGGAGAATCGATTTATCTCACTACTAATCCACGGCTCCATCCATTAGACAACAAGGAGTATCTAGTAAGTTGAGGTGTGTGTGTGTGTGTTTAGTGCACGTCTCTCATTTACATACCTACAGCTTCTTCAAAGCTTATCTACATTAGCTTATGGTTTAACAATAAGCCTCCCTGTAGTTAAACCTGTTCACTACTTCATGCTATTTGAAACGTCATACTTGTTGGATTTTATAAAAATGTAAAATTTGCCGACCAATAACTTAAATCAAAGACAAATCTTAGCTCTAGGTGTTAGGGAATTAACTGCGAACGTGTTTTAATTATCTATGTATACAAAGGTAATGCGTTAACTTTATCCTGTCTAAAAACACTCAATATTGCTTATAGTGTATAAATCATATCCATAATTATACCACTCAAAGCTTTATATTTTATCGTTTTATATATTCAGTAGGGATACTGTCTGACATGTCTGTATAACTTTTTTAATCCTAACCCATTTTTACACCATTATTTTCAGTATGTACGCACTGCAGAATTCTATGATCGACATTTCCTGTATCGATTTTTTTATATGATGGTTATTTTCTTTACCTTCCGAATGCGAATTTATTTTGCTTGGAAAATGTCTGAGTGCGTGTGTATATCCGCTCGTTTAGGTGCATATCCTAAATTATCTGAACCTGAAAAAGGTGAAGGACCAACTAATCTACATGCATTAGATTTGTAAGTTAATGGGGGAGTTTTTGCTTTCTTTATTGGAATTTACACAAAATACATGTTTCATTTATTATATTCGTTATAAATTGACTTCACACAGGGTAACATTAAAAACGAGAGACTATTGATCAACTGCTTTAACCTAGTTTAGGATTGCTCAGTAGTGTACATCTACGAGCCCACCAGGTGCGTCTGATAATCTTTGTTCGTCAATGATCATTAAAAAACTACCATGTTTCTGCCCGTTTTCATGATGTGTGTTTTGCAATTAAATGATCATGTTGATATTACTTAAATTAACCACTTAAGTAGATTTTAGACTTCAACAATAAATATATTTTTTGTCATATCTCAATGAGTAGAAAAATTGTATTTCTGACGTTTCGTGGCTTAATGTAGGCCACTTCTTCAAAGTAAATAACCAAAATAAATTACTACAAGTATAAATAGTACAAAGAAAACAATGCAGAATATTTTTATTACAATCAAACTCATAATAGGTCTGAATATGTCGAAGTCAATTTATTCTTAGTCAAGGTGAATTTGTATGGCATGTCACCATTAATTTGTACGTCAGAATCTGGGTATGAAAAATGTATACATTTGTAATATGAAGTGGTGAAGTTGAGATTGTGTGGAAAATAAATAAGATCAAATGTGATTGTTTGGACAAATAGTTCAGGTTGGATCAATATTCAGGCTTTTCCTATTAAGGACGGAGGGATTTAGGATTATGTGAAAAACTTTAGCTACTCGCCTCTTTTTATATTTGGGAAAACCTGGATTATTTTGATATTTGTAATATCAACTTGGTGATTATTGGAAATAGCATGTACTGCTATTGATGATTTAACCCGTAAAGTTCACAGTTCTACAGGATTATTAAGCCTTTCTATGTAACTTGAGTATCCCTTGGCACGAGTCGAGATCTCGGGAACTCTTCAATGTAGAACGCCTCGCAATCGGCACAACCTAATCTGTAGACAATTTTGTGTAGAGGTGAACGGGATTTTATCTTTAACTCAAATAGAGCGTTTCTTAGAATGTTAGTTGTCTAATAGAAAGCTTTAATTCTGTATGTTTTTGATATCCGTTGTAATTATTCCGTCATACTTTGGCGGTAAGGTAAAACCACAGTACCAATCCAAGATCATTCATCAGGATTGATTTTTACAGAAGGATAGTTTTGTTTTAATATGTTTTTAAGAATATTTTTAGAAAAGTTAATCGTAAGATGTTTATTATATTCTCTTTTTCTCTCAGCTTGTCTTCTGAGGTAATGATCTTGGTCGCTCTTCTGAAAAGATTTAGGGCTAGGGTAATTTTCTCACTGGATGAGTGCGCACAGTTAACATCAATATGCTGATTTGAATTTGTTGGTTTTCGGTATATAGCTAGATTTAGACTACCATTGGAATTCCTTTTAACTAGACAGTCTGAGAATAGTAGTTCATTATATTCGTCTTCCTTTTCGAAAGCGAATTTGATATGTTCTGAGAGCGTGTTTATGTGTTTGGAGAAATTTCTGAGATTATTTTTAATAATGACAAAGTGTCATCTTTATATTTGAGCCACGTGCATGGATTGATAGTGCTGGCAAAAATTAGCGACTCACTGTGGGACATAAATAAATTTGTAACAATCAGAGATACTGAAGATCCCATTGCTTTAGTTCTTTCAGAAGTGCACTTGTCTCTGATGCAACTTTATTTTTAAACACTTGAACATTTTTCGAATCGATCTTTAAATATAGTCCCGTTGATAAACGATTAGTAGCTTTTTCTTCATAGTCGTTTTTGTTCATGACCACTGTTGTATCACCTTAGTCAGTTTCAGTAATGACAATCGTTTCATTTTAACTACCCTTGTAACCTGTTTTGAAGCACTCCCGGTTGAATGCACTGGATGTTCGTCTACCGACCTTAATATGAGGTTTTAACTGTGTTTGTATTTTGTAATGAACATTATTCGTATACACAATTGTGCTTCCACACATTTTTATAGTAAACCTTGGTCAACCGATCAGAAAGATTGCGTATGGCCATTTGTCAGATCAGTGTCTTTCATCTTGTTATCACACTAAAGTGCTTCTATTTCAGTATCGTATTAATCGTACCAATATCGTCTGAGATTAACGAAATGAATCTTTACAATGAGTAAGACATAGTGTTCGTTCTGTTCTCTTACCATCTTATCTTGTTATATCCACTGGGAACGTCTAGTTGATTTACAATTAAAATGAGTGAACAATCATTCGAATAGTCACAATGTTATTGTTCACCCCCCTCAAATGCCCTGGTACGGCCGATAGTGGAGAGAGTCCGTTCTCCCTCTCGAAATGCTCCCACATGGCCACGCGTATATAGCCTATACCAGGGAAGTCCTACTCACTGCCTTCTCGTTGCATTACTGTTGTTTACGAAATTGAGAGGACGAAAATCGAATGTCCGGCGCTTTAACCGTGTTGGTGGACATGGAGAACCCACCCACAGGAGTTGGAAAACCCTGATTCCAAACCAATGGTGCACAAAGGCTCCAGTATCCTGAAGGAACAAATGGCGTATGAACCGATCGTTGCTCACCGGCTACCATGGGATTGCATCTCCTTACGGTACTCCACTGCCTTGTGGATCAGCCCTTCAGGTCGAAGGTTCCGGGTGTGACCCCCTGAGAAAACCACCTGCTTCGGTTTGGGCACCTTGGCAGTATCACAGCCTTCACAAATAGGATGATTTGTGTGGCGCATATCTATTTGGTGCCCCCTTGTATCAGTATTTGTGTGTTCAAATAAATAAATAAACCCTCTCTCCTAGAAATGAATCTGAGACAAAAGTGAGCATAATTAAAAATCACCCAGTTCATAACTAATTGGTCTTAAAAAGTTTTCAGTGATTATTGAACATTGAATTCAGGACTTCGGCAATCCATTATTCTGTTGTTTACTACAACAGTTTCGTTTTTGTAAGAGTTAGTGTTGTTCGTATTTCCAGTCTTTCTCTGGTATTAAATTCTCGGTTTTAGAATTTCATTGTAAGCGTTTTACCTGTCAACACTGGTCACACCTCAGTAACTGAATCATTCAAACGTAACGATTTTACATTGATAAACATTTGTTTGAATTCAAAAGAACAATTTAAACTATTGTTTATTTAATTTTATTATATTGCGAATTGTCACATTAGATACATGGAACAACAGGCAGCCAATGATGTGAAATTAAACAGCGTTATAAACCAGCCCAATCATCTTCATCGTCATCAAACTTCTGACCCTGTCAATTCTGTTATTCATTCCACACTAAAAAATAAACCGAATTTTGAAATGAAGTCAGAGACAAATGTAATATATAATTATAATACAATATCCAACTTAAGTATATGGGGATGTGAATTCGCTCCTACAGTACGTGAATCGATGAAATCGTGGAATTGTTCGGTGCAATTTTGGTTGGCCAATTATTTTTATAGACGTTGCAAAGCTTCACGAAATATACGGCAAGTGATTCATTTGGGCGATTCATTCTATTTTTTAATCCCTTATCAATTAAGGAACTCAATTGATGCCCGAGTATTTTGTATTAGTAATTTGTTTGGAATTTTCTTCCTAATGAATTCATTATGCTTTGCGAATAAGTCATATGTTCTATTAAGGCTTAATAATACTGTTTAATCACACGAGCCAAAATAATTGATGGGGTGTCTAGACCTGTTAGGGATTGATAATTTCTACTATTTATATAAAGCTTTTTGGTTGTGGTCCAAAATTATTATTCAACAATCTAACGATTTGGACACCATTTAGTCTTGTTTTTTGATATATAATGCCTGTGTCAATTATTCTTTTCATTCATTCTTTTTATTATGTAAATTTCTACAGGACATTATGGACAATGATGGTTAGTGCCTATTGGCATGGTTTACATGCAGGTTATTATTTATCCTTTCTGGTCATCCCACTTGCATTAGTTGGTGAGACAAGTCTAAAAAATTTAATGAATTTATGCGCAAATAGTCTACCAACTGGTAGTGTGTCATTTATTTCATGGTTATTAAAAATGCGTGTCTTTGAATATTGTTGTATGGGGTTTTTATTATTAGACTGGGAGACTACCATTGCTTATTGGTCCAGTATTTATTTTTGTATTCATATAGTTTTAATTGGATTGATTATTTTCGACTATTTTCTACGACTTATATTACCAGCTAAAGCATTTAAAATTGTATCTTCATTAGATTCATCTACTGTTTCATCATTATCATCTGATATGTTTGTTGTTAATAATGACATAGTTGGTGATCGATCATCAACGCTTCATTCTCATCATCGTCCTAATTATAAATCAAAAATGTAAATTATTGCATCTACATATATTACATAAAAATCTTTAACTATAATTTGATAATTATTGAACAATGAAAATAGCATTTTGTGTTTCCCACTCTTTTTTTTGAAAAAAAATTGATTTCATTATTTTCATTTAACAATGTTTATTTTATCCTCTTCATAGATAGAGTTAGTCATTTTTTCCACTCTCTAAGTGTTATCTTGATATTTTTATTTAGATGTTATCACTTTAGTTGTTCTCTGTTTCGTATTGTCAATTCATTTCATTCTGATATTATCATTATTATTATTGGAATTTTACCGCTCTCTTATCTGATGTTCACGAATATATATATATATATATATGTCCATCATGGAAAGCGCTGCGAAATTGTGGCTTTGTATTTTATAAAACAACAATAATATCAGTATCAAAAAGGATAATTATGTGTTGAATTATTCTTATCAGTTACCTTTTTTCTTCTTTTCTTGTAGTATTTTCTTTTATGAAATTTCCTTTCTTCAAAATACATTAATTTGATACTTACTAATTTCAAAGAGAAGTATTCTCAAATGAACAAATGTTTCCTACTAACAATTTAATTTGTATTATTATGTTCAGCAATTATATACGCATACAGTTTTTTTCTGATTATCTCTTCTGATATAATAAGAATTGTTTCAAATTATATGAAGTAGAAAAAAAGAAGAACAAGAAAACTTTGAAAGAAAAGCTTTTTTTACTTTAAATTTATTTTCCTCTTTTTTAAAATTACAAACTTTCAAATGGATACTTATGAATAACCTTATGAAATTACCTATACAACATATGTATTATCTGTTCCCTCAGAGATAAATATCTAACAACAATTTAGTAAAGTTAGTGGATTTATTTACTTTGTTCTTTATCAGAAAATTAATACCATAAGTGTCTTTTTAATGTAAGGGGTTAGGAGACAATTTATACATTTATTCATGGTTATTTACTTATCGTACAAGAAATGCTTCGTGTAGAAAAGCATTAACAAGTTATATCGTACAAATTGGAGTGATAATGTTGATAAAAATTAGAAAACGGTGACGGAAAAAAGAAGTGTAGGATGATCTGGTCAAAATTTGTAGAGCAACGATCCATTTGAATTACTCCATCGGACATTTGAAGCGTCTTCTATGATTTTTATCTCATTGAAACCAGCCTTCTCAATTTTACAGGTTTTAATATCGTGCCACTGATTCCGTAAATTTGCAGATGCAATTAAGAAAAGAGGACGGTAAGTTGTGCTCCGATAATAACAACTGTGATTTTGTTTTTCGTTACAAAGTAGGTTATGTTCATGGGAAATATTCAGAAGACAACCACTTTTATCCTACTTGTAATCGAAGAATTCTAATTGGCTACCCAAACTATTACTAATGCGTAGAACCCAGAACGTCCATCTAGATTTTCAGCTACTAATACGTCTGTCGCAGGAGTTTGACAGAAGCTACATATTTAGTGGTAGTACTCAGTCTATGTTCCTCCTCCTAGTTTTGTCTTATCATTTGTGCGGAGATTCCTTTCCAATAGGAAGCAGTGAGTATAATCCGTTTGGTAGAGCCTTTAAGGATGGAGCTTCATGAGAGTGTGTCGATGTAGAAAGTTTAGCTCCATTTTCGGCCATATTTTTTGGGATTTTCACTTTAAATCAGTCTAAGCGTCCAAGATTTAAGAGCAGTATCTTGTCTTCTGAGATGGTCAGATTCAGTTTCTCATCGTCCACTAAACTAAATTTAGTTTAATTGGTTATTTTTTTAATCAAATGGCGCACAACTGTCATATTTGAAAATCCATGTTTATCGTTCGAATTATCGGTTATTTCCTACGGTCTAGTCTTATGTCTTTCATAACCCTTCCAACTAGAAGTGTAATATAAGAGTCAGTCAGTCAGTCAGTCAGTCAGTCAGTAACAACGTAGAACTTCGTACGTACGTACATCAGTTCGAGTTGCCACACCACATTAGCACAGAGATGCACTTGTCGATTCAAATCCCATAGTGATAGACGTAATAAGAGTATAAGCAGTAATCGGGAAGATTAGGGTTTGGAGATGTTATTTAAAGAGTATAATCCAGTGAAAGAAATTTGGAAAGAGGAAAAAAGGGACATGAAGAATTCAGAAGATAAGAATTTGGAAGAACACAGAGAGTGGATGCACCTGAGCCATTGCAAACGATTTTGAGCCATGTCATTCAGGGTCTCTAACCATCGGTTGCTGTCATCTCGCGGTCCCCAACCAGGTAGTCTACACCTACCAACATGACTCAGTTCACTTGTCAGTGACTTCATGGACTTGCGCTATGTTTTGGTTTGGCCGCCCCTAGCTTTCTCCCAACCTACTCCTATACCACTGAACATCGCACGTCGAGGTAATCGGTTGTTAGGCATACGTAACACGTGTCCCAGCCATCTCAACTGATGAAGTTTCACTACTTCATCAATTGATTTGCCACCCTTACCTAGTACCCGTTTCCTAACAACTGTGTTACTTACTCGATGGTCCCATGATATACGAGCAATGTTTCGAAGACACCTATGATCAAATACTAGTAACCTACGAATATCCTCTACTCTTACCGGCCATGTTTCACTGCCATAAAGTAGGACGGAACGAACTGCTGCGCAGTAAACACGTCCTTTGGTTGATAGACGGATATCTCGCCTACGCCATAAATGACGCAGGTTGGCAAAAGCTAGTCGAGCCTTCTGTATCCGTGCTGAGATTTCGTCACACATCAGACCACAAGGGCTGACGAGACTTCCAAGATAAGTGAAGCGGTCGACACACTCAACTACTTCACTCCCTATCACTAGTTCGGGTGTCGATGTAACCCAATCCTGAAGCAACATTTTGCATTTCGAGGGAGAGAATCGCATCCCGAACATGCTTGCATTGTTGCTTAGAGTGGTCAGAAGACTCTGCATTTTGTCAGCGTCTTCACCAAATAAAACTATGTCATCTGCATATTCTAAGTCAACAAGTGAACCTCCTGGTAGAAGTTCAACCCCTGTAAATTTAGATGAGGAGAGTGTTATCTCTAAAAGTACGTCAATGACAAAGTTGAACAAGAATGGAGAGAGTGGACAGCCCTGACGAACACCACTTGAGGTAATCAATTCTGATGACAGTTCGCCATAAGCTCTCACTCTACCAGTTGTGTTCGAGTAGAGAGCCTTTATAAGGTTAATGTACTTCTTTGGTACTCCTTTCGGTGACAAACACTGCCATAGAACCTCACGATCAACGGAGTCGAATGCCGCCTTAAGGTCGAGAAATACTACCATTGTGGGGCCTCTGAATGTGTGTCTGTGTTCTAGAATCTGACGTAGTGTGAATATCTGGTCTATACAACCACGTCCAGGTCGAAAACCAGCCTGGTTTTCTCTAGTCTGCTCTTCACGAGCTTTAGTTAGGCGTCGAAGTATTATTGAGGCTAATATTTTAGACACTATATTAGTCAAACTGATTCCTCTGTGATTATCACAAGAGGACTTTTGTCCTTTCTTAAAAACTGGCACAATCAGTGATTGAGACCAGTCAGATGGGATTACGTCCAGTTCCCAAATTCTACCTAAGACCTCAGTTAATCTCATTGCTAATACTGGACCACCATCCTTAAAAATCTCAGGAGTAAACCTGTCAGGGCCTGCTGCTCTCCCTCGTTTCAGATTTCCTATGGCTTTTTCAACTTCGTAAAGGGACGGAGGACTTACATTAACTTGCCATTCAGGTTGACTAGAGATCGTGGGAAACCGAAGTGTGGCTGAAGGCCAGTTGAACTGATCCCTAAAGTGTTCTGCCCATCGATCCAATCTCCTGGATTGAGAATGAATAATATGTCCATCTTTCTCTGAGATTGTTTCGCTAACGGTCGGGTTCCTAATTCCGGTTTCCTTAACGAGTCTAAACAATTGTCTGCTATTACCTATTGCCGCTGCCTTTTCCATCTCTCTTGCTTTCGCTACCCACCACTGTTCGCGATCATTGCGTAGACTTTTTGTCAGCTTGCGCTTAAGCTGACTCCGCTCTTCATTATGTTCAGAGCCAGGTGGAATGAGTTTCCGAGCATCTATCAGTGCGATAGATGCTGCTGAGATCCAGTGTTGCTCCCTAACTTTACGGTTTACCTTACTAGCAGATATCACTGCTGTCTCCACAGCTTTTCGGATATCGTTCCATGCTGCCTCGGGGTGGGCATCACATACATGGCTGCCTAACTGTTTTCCTAGTTGTTCCTGAAATATACTCTTAGCTTGACTATCATTAAGTAGGGCGCTAAGAGGTTTCCTTGCAGCGTCTTTCCTACGTCCAGTAAGACGCAAGCAAATACGCGCTCGTACTAGAGCATGATCTGAATCTAGACATGTGCTCCAGAATGAGCGACAGTCTTCTATCGAGCCCCTCCATCGGTGGCTGATAGCGATGTGATCTATTTGGGTCCAACGTTGGGACGAATTAGGGGTTCTCCATGTTAAAAGATGTTTTTCCTTATGCTTAAAGTTAGTATTTGCAAGGAACAGGCGGTTATCTGAGCATAGCTGCAACAGACGGTCGCCATTATCTGTTCTTTGAGCCACGACACCATAAGATCCACCTAGGTGTCTTTCCTTATCGCTTAGTTTACCTACTTGAGCATTAAAGTCACCGGCCACTATTACTACATCCGAGCGCTTAGCTTTTCGGAGAAGGTCCGAAAGCTTTCTGTAAAACTCATCTTTTACATCATCTGAGCTGCAGTCAGTGGGAGAATAGGCTGAGACGACGAAGAGGCAACGACGAGTGTCCCTATCTTTCCGGATTCTTACTGTTCCGTTCAGTCGGACAGCGCACAAACGACTGTTTACTGGGATCCACTCTAAGAGAGCTAGTTCTGCCCTAGGACTCAATGCTATACCTACGCCGGCGAGGCCACGGGAAGCAGAATCAGGGCTTCCATATACACGATACGTAAATCGAGTCGGTTCTTTATTTTGGCATGGTGAGGTCAAAT